TCTGGTTTCCTCTCCTTCTCCGCCCCTCCCCTTCCTCCCCCTCCCTTCCTCCCTCCTATCTCCTCCGCCCCCTTCTCCTCCATTCTTTCTCCTTGTAAATAATTTCTCCCTGTCGCACCCCGAGGCAACTTTTTAGGGCGGGCCGGGCGTTTCGCCTGAGACTTCCTCATCATTTGTGACCTTGAAGCTTAAACACTAGCAACAGCTCCACAGATGGAGGGCGGTCGTTTTCAAAATGTGGCTCTCGCTTTAGCGCCGCGCACATTCGTTTTAAACATGTGCAAGACGACCCGTTTTCAAATGTGGCTCTCGCTCTAGCGCCGCGCACATTGGTTTAAACAGAATACAAGAGTTTCACGGATTGAGGGCGACCCGTTTTCAAAATGTGGCTCTCGTTTAAGCGCCGCGCACATTCGTTTTCACCATTTGAACTATTTGCAAGAGTTTCACGGATTGAGGGCGGTTCCTTTTCAAAAGTTGGCTCTCGCCTTAGCGCCGCGCTCATTCGCATTTAAAGTGTGCAAGAGTTGCACGGATTGAGGGCGACCCTTTTCCAAAATGTGGCTCTCGCCTTAGCGTCGCTCATGCTTTGTTAAGATGATAGATATACAGAAATTCAGTAATACATTGTATTATCATAAACACTGCGAGAGTTTCACGGATTCCCACGATCAACGTACCAGAGATGGTGTTTTGGACGGGTTCAAGAGTATCAGGGTGCAACCGATTTGCGGCGTTGAAGTCCCAGGAATGGCGTTCGGGCACGATTCCAGATCGTCTGGATGCAACCATCAGGTGGATACGTGGCGCTGGAATACCAAACATATTGTTTTGGCATGCTTCAGGGTTTTCAAACGGTTGTCTTCCAACGAGGCAGTTCCAATCTTTGGAAATGGACCTTTCTAGGGGCTCATGAAGAGGGAGCTTGGAGGGAGGGTTTATTCCAACATCGTTGATGGCTCTTGGGTTTTCAGTGGTCCTCCTCCTTCTCCTCGTCCTCCTCCTCCCTATCCCCCCCCTCTCCCCTCCTCCTCCTTCTCTTCCATTCCTTTTCCCTGTGAAGAACTCTTCCCTGTCGCGCCCCGATGCTGGTCGAAAGGGCGCGCCAGGCGTTTCGCCTGAGACTTCCCCTCCGTTTGTGATCCTGACGCTTGAAATTTGCAAAGTTCCGGGGGTGGGGGGCGGGCCGTTTTCAACAAAACCTGGAAATCGCCTTAGCGCTGCAGATTTTTTGTTAAATCAACAGCAAATCAAACATAATTACATTAGTTTTGCGGATTGCGGACGAGTCATTTTATACACGTGGCTCTCGCCTTAGCGCCGTGCACATTCGTTCTTTAATTTTACGAGGGCTTCACGGATTGAGGGCGACCCCGCGCGCATTCCTTTTTAGCGTTTGCGACAGTTTCATGGGTTCCCATGATCAACGTACCAGAGATGGTGTTGTGGGAGGATCCAAGAGTTTGAGGGTGCAACAGTTACGTTGGTTCGCGGCATTGACGTCTCAGGAATGGTTTTCTGGCACGGTTCCGGATTGTCAAAACGCAACAATCAGGTTCATCCGTGGCGTTGGGATACCAAAATCAATGTTTTGGCATGTTTCAGGGTCTTCAAACGGTTGTCTTCCAATGAGGCATCTTCCTCTGTGGGGATGAACCGTTGTAGGGGCCTATGAAGAGGGAGCTTGGAGGGAGGGTTTATTCCAACATCGTTGATGGCTCTTGGGTTTTCAGTGGGCCTCCTCCTCCTCCTCGTCGTCCTCCTCCTCCTCCTCCTCCTCCTCCTCCTCCCCCTTAACCTTCACATCTCCTCCCCTTCCCCTCCACCGTCCTTTTTTTGGACGTGCTCCCATCTTTCCTCCTCCTGATCCTTCCCCTCGTCCTCTGGACTTCCTCACCCTGAGTTCCTCCTCCCCCTCCTCCTTCTCCCCCTCCCACTCTTTCACCCTTTCTCATCCTCTCTCCTCCTGCTTACTATATCCTCCTCCTCCTCGTGCCCCTGGGCCAGTTGGCTTTCCACCTGGCGGTTTTATTTCCATTTCCATATTTGTTTACCCCTCCTCCCACTCATTCTGCTCCTCCCTCCCCCGCTCCTTCCCCTCCTCCTCCGCCGCCTCCTCCTCCTCCTCCCTATCCTCCCCCTCCCCCTCCCTCCTCTTTCTCTTCAATTCCTTGTCCCTACGAAGAACTCCCTGTCGCGCCCCGACGCTGGTCGAAAGGGCGCGCCAGGCGTTTCGCCTGAGACTTCCCTTCCATTTATGATCCTCGGCCCGTTTTCCAAAAGTGGCTATCTCCTTAGCGCTGCGCGCATTCGTTTTTTTTTTTTTTTTTTTTTTTTTTTTGTTTTTTTGTTGTTTTTGTTTGTTTTTTGTTTATATATATGTAAAGGATTGCGTTAGTTTCGCGGCTTGCGGACGAGTCATTTTCAAAAAGGTGGCTCTTGCCTCAGCGCCGCGCACATGCGTTTTAAACAATTGCACGAGTTTGGCGGATCGAGGGCGGTTCCTTTTCAAGATGTGGTCTTCGCCTCAGCGCCGCGCATATTCGTTTTAAACATGTCCACGAGCTTCACGGATTGAGGGCGGGCCGTTTTCAAAATGTGGCTCTCTCCTTAGGGCCGTTCCTTTTTAAACATTGCAAGAGTTCCACGGATTCAGGGCTGGCTGTTTTCAAAAAATGTCTCTCGCCATATCGCCGCGCACATTCGTTAAACGAATCTTCGAGAGTTTCACGCAGTGAGGGCGGTTCTTCTTCAACCTGTCGTTCTCGCCTTAGCGCCTTGCGCATTCGTTTTGAAAAAATCCCAAGAGCTTTACGGCTTCTCATTCCAGAAGTGGTGTCTTGGAACGATTCATGGTTGTCAGGGTTGAATTCGCAGTGTTGAATTCGCAAGAATGGTGTTTTGGCACGATTCAGGATCGCCAAGACGCAGCAGTCATATCGATTCGTGGCGTTGAATTTCTGAGAATGTTGTTTTGGCACGCTTCAGGATGTTCCAACGGTTGTCTCCCATCGGGGCAATTCTGTCAGTGGACATGAACCTTTGTATGGGGCCTGTGAAGGAATAGCTTGGAGGGAGGGTTTCTTTCAAAACCGTTGATGAGTCTTGGGTTCGCACTGGTCCTCCTCCTCCTCCTCCTCCTCCTCCTCCTCCTCCTCCTCCTATTCCCCCTTTAGGCGCGACCCGCCCACAAGCAGGCTCACCGCTCCATAGTCAGGAGGTAGAGCGCACGTACAAGACTCCGCTCAGCGACGATCTGTAATGCTGTGAGAAGTGATCAGAGAGAAGGCTGGAGGTCAAGGTGATTCGAGTCGAGTCGAGCCCTCCCCCTCCCCCTCCCCTCCCTTCCCTTCCCCTCTCCCCTCCCCTCCCCTCTCCCCTCTCCCTCCCCTCCCCTCTCCCCTCTCCCCTCTCCCCTCTCCCCTCCCTTCCCCTCTCCCCTTCCCTTCTCCCCTCCCCTCCCCTCTCCCTCCCTCGCCCGGAGGGGCGCGCCTGGAACAGCTCCGGCCTCGCCGGCATCACCGTCCTGCGGCGCCTGCCCGCGGGGTCCCTGGCCCTGGTGCTGGGGCGCTGGGAGGAGAGAGGCCTCGACGCCGACGAGGCGGCGGCGCGGGGGGGGGGGGTTGTGCGATGTTGTTGGGGGGTCCAGGTTGGAGGATCCTGGGGGTCCTGGGGGGGTCGACGCCGTGGGGGGTTCCCGGGGGGCGACCGCGTGGGGGGTGCCCTGGGGGGGGTGACGTCTCGCGGGGAGAGGAGGGCCGGAGGCTCTGGCGTGAGCTGCGGGGCCGAGGCGCAGCGCCACGGGGCTGCGGGGGGACCGCTCTGGGTGCGGGCCCCGTCGCCAGGATCTGCTCTTGCGCGGGGGGGCCGAGGACCGACGCCCAGCCATCGATCGTTCGAGGTGCCTTTTCCCAACCCTCCTGTGTGGTGCCGGGTCCTCGTTTTGGAGAGGGCGCCCCGCGCCTCCCCCGCCCCTCGCTTCCTCCTTCCTCCTCCTCCTCCTCCCCTCCTTGCCTCTGCCCTCCGCACCGCATTTCGGCACGCCCCTCACACATTTCGTGGCCCAGCAGGGAGCTCCACCCGAGGCCCCAGTGGCAGCGCCCGCGTGCAGTTCCACCGCAACTTCGGCGCATTTTTACAAGCTCCGTGCCCCCATGGGGAGCTGCACCGAAGGCCCGCATGTTTTTCCACCCTCTATTTCGGCGAACCTCTCACACATTTCGTGGCCGCATACGGGGGCTCCACCGACGGTCCCAGCGACAACGCCCGCATGCTGTTGCACTTTCAATTTCGGCACGCCTCTCACACGTTTCGTGGCCCCATAGGGGGCTCCACCGAACGCCCCAGTGGCAGCGCCCGCGTGTGGTTCCACCTCCATTTGGTCACGCCCCTCACACGTTTCGTGGCCCCATGGGGAGCTCCACCGAAGGCCCCCGCGGCAGCGACCGCATGCGGTTCCACCCTACATTTCGGCGAACCTCTCACACATTTCGTGGCCCCATAGAGGGGCTTCACCGAAGGCCCCAGCGGCACGGCCCGCAAGCCTTTCCACTTTAATTTCGGTGCGCCCTTCACACGTTTCGTGGCCCTATGGTGAGCTCCACCGAAGGCCCCCGTGGTAGCGCCTGCATGCGGTTCCACCCGGATTTTTTCGCGCTCCTTACACGTTTCGTGGCCCCCGAGGGAGCTCCACCGAAGGCCCCAGTGGCAGTTCCCGCATGTGGTTTCGCCACTATTTCGGCGAACCCCTCGTATTTTTCTTTGCCCCCGAGGGAACCCCACCGATAGTCAGAAGAGTACCAGCAGCAAAGGAAGCGGAAAGGGCAAGCGCAGTGCTCCTCGTTGGAATTGGACCGAAAAGAAGGAATGTCCTTTCAGCACTCGCTACAGATTCCGTGCCAACACCACAGGCTTTCCGTGACATTGGCTGCCGGGGGCCAGTGGCTCAACCACTCGTTCCCTGGGATACGCTAACCACCAACTTTTTTTTCATGATTATGACTGCTATATTTGTCCGATGTGTGATCTGTGCCTTGACGTTCGTCGATCGATTTAGTCGACCGTGTCGTAACAACATGATGAAGAACAATCATGATGCCTGCCCAGCGCATTTGCGGAACGCCGCCCCCGAGCGGAATGGAAACCGCAGGGATCTGGAGCGGGCTGCGCTGGCTTTTGCAGCAGCTCTTTGAGCTCAGCCCCGATGGGTTGAAAGGAAGAAGTTGACAGCAAACCGGGCCCCAGGGCAATCAGCACGCAAGGTTTCTTGGTAGTTCTCGGGGCACGTTGAGATAATGGAAGGCGCTCCAGCAGCGGTTCCAACAATGACTTCAGTGAATGCTGATACCCATCGGGTCAGTTCCAAAAAAACTGGACATCGAGTCCTAAGTATTTCACGTATGTTTCTACATATTGCTCCTTTCCTGGGGCTCGCATCCTTCATGTGTTGAATCCTCACCGCTCCCCGTAGTCGCACTGTTTATTATGCGTCGTGTGAGCTGAAAGTGGGAATGTGCCTCTGGAGATTGTTGGCTTGACCTCCTTGGGCGGGAGATCTGGGTGTTGTAATATTGCCTCACCTGTGCAGTTAGTTCCCCAAGAGGGGGTAGCATCACGATGGATGCATGTGGCATGTCGAAGCGTGGCGCATGAGGGTAAACTGATTGTTGTTGTTGTTGTTGTTGTTGTGGTTGTTGTTGTTGTTGTTGTTGTGGTTGTTGTTGTTGTTGTTGTTGTTGTTGGTTGTTGTCGTCGTCGTCGTTGTTGTTGTTATTGTTGTTGTTGTTGTTGTTGTTGTTGTTGTTGTTGTTGTTGCTGCTGCTGTTGTTGTTGTTGTTGTTGTTGTTGTTCTTCTTCTTCTTCGTCTTGTTGTTGTTGTTGTTGTTGGTTGTTGTTGTCGTCTTTGTTGTGGTTGTTGTTGTGGTTGTTGTTGTTGTTGTTGTTGTTGTTGTTGTTGTTGCTCTCCTTCTTCTTCTTGTTGTTGTTGTTGTTGTTGTTGTCGTTGTTGTTGTTGTTGTTGTTGTCGTTGTTGTTTGTTGCTGCTGCTGCTGCTGCTGCTGTTGTTGTTGTTGTTGTTGTTGTTGTTGTTGTTGTTGTTGTTGGAGCCTGCATTATTCAACAGTTGTTCTTTTTGAACACCCGGAATGGGGCTCTGGCGCTCTCGATGCAACGGCGGCTGCGTTTCCTCTGAAAGTCGGCTCGCGCTCAGGCGTCTCGGGGCAGCGCCGACACCGGCCCCAAAACAGCAACAACAGCAACAGCAACAACCGCAACAGCAACAGCAACAGCAGCAGCAACAGCGACAGCGACAGCGACAGCATCAGCGACAGCGACAGCAACAGCAACAGCAACAGCAACAGCGACAGCGACAGCGACAGCAACAGCGACAGCAACAACAGCAACAGCAACAGCGACAGCGACAGCGACAGCAACAGCAACAGCAGCAGCAACAGCAACAGCAACAGCAACAGCGACAGCGACAGCAACATGAACAACGCTCCCGTCAATACTTCCTTCTTTTCTACTCGGGGCCGGGGCTCTCGCTCGCCGCTGCAACTGGCGGCGGGCACAGGGGGGGCAATCAGGAGGAAAAGAGACACACAGACACAATTAATTGTCGATTCCGCAGGAAACATGGGAAAATATGTGAAGCGGGGGGAAGACAAGAACCCAGAAAGTATGGGAGAATATTCGGAATCCTGTTAATTGTGTGTGTGTGTGTCTATATCTGTGTGTCCCAGGCCCCCTTCAGACAAGGGGGGAGGGGGGAAGGCTTCTCAGACGGAGGCTGCACCTCTCAGACGGTGCGGGCCCCACACTTCTACAGACGAGGCCCGCGCCCTTGAGAAGTAGCCTCCTCCTGATGAGCCCTCCCCCCTCCCACTACCCCCCCTGTTCCAGATACCATAAAGGGTGTGGGTTCATTTTTAACAGCAGGACGGTGGTCATGGAAGTTGAAATCCGCTTCGGAGTGTGTAACAACTCACCTGCCGAATGGACTAGCCCCGAAAATGGATGGCGCTCAAGCGGGTGACCGATACCCAACCATTGTTGCAATTGTGTTGCACCAGTGAGTAGGAGGGCGTGGGGGCTTGTGACGAAGCTTTTGGCGTACGCCTGGGTGAGCCACGACCCAGGTAAGGGGACCCGGTCAGTGGCAGGGCCCCAGAGCCCCTCAGTTGGCCAGAGTCACTAAACCAGGTCTGCCGTAGCTGGTGTTTTTTCGGATGACGGCAGCTCCGGTCCTTGGAACGGGGCGGGGGGCGGCGCCCCCCAAGTACACATCACTGAACCAGGTCACACTTTAAGCCCAGTGCTGCCAGCGCACGACCTGTGCTCGCCGTCGAAGGCCGGACTTCCAGCAGAGCTCGCGCTCTTGCTCGCTGCCTCGCGCCGCCGCCGGCGCAGCAGCAGCCGCCGCCGCCGCCCTTTTTTCGAGGCGGGGCCGAGGCCCGCGCGGCCCGAGGAGGCCCGCCTCTCTCTCCAGAGGCCGAGGCAGGA